ACGTAGGAATAGAGAGGGGTAATGAGCAGCAAAGAAAGCTTTGTAAACAAGAAAACAATTGTCTTGAAAGAGGAAGGGGACTCCTGCAACATGGACTGCCCATCTCAAAGGGGAAAAGCTCGTGTAGGAAAAAGAAAAAAAAACACCACCGAAACACAACACAACAAAACCTCCTCCCCTTGCCTCCAGTTTTCTTAAGATGACACATTTTGATACTCAAGGAAAAGGAATGCGCAAATGGAACCAGCATGCCTACCTTCCCAAGTGCTATATTTAAGGTGCCTCAAGCACACGATATTTTTATGTAGCCATATTCCACTGTGTAATGATTAATTTGCCAGATTCCTGTTGAAAACACATCTTTAAAAGAGGAGTTTTAAAAAACAGATAAATAAAGACAAACTTGCACCTTGCCCTCTGAAAGAGGCAACACGAGATAGTGAGCAAGGACTGAGGATAGCGAGCAGAAAAAAAACCATTTGACAATTGCATTCAGTCGAATACTAATACATTTCTGCTCCTGCTGTTTTCTAAATATACTTGAACCCATCCTCCAATAATTAGGAACTCTTTTTATAAACAATCTGTTCAGTCTTAATGTAAAGAGAAGTGTTTATTTCATTTCTAAAAGGTAAGGAAAATCTAGTAAATGTATTATCAACTCACTTTTGCTTTAGCACTCTGTGATCAATTAGTCCTTCTGCATTTTCAGTTGAGCACAGATATTTTTTCTGTTCCCCAGGACCAGAAGAATTTAACATTTGTCTGTCAATAGCCCTGAAACAAACAAACAAAAAAGGCTTTCACTGTCAAGTTTTGTGCAGCGTATAGAAAAAAGGTATTTTAGGGTTTTAAAATACCAGTGGCAGAAATAGAAAAGGAGAAAAATTAACATATTGAATAGTCATGATTTTACATGATGCTGATGTCTCTTAATCTATCTCTCAGTTCAATTATCAAACTCTGACAAGTTAAAAGGAAAACTGTAAATAATATTGCCTAGTGATATTCTAATTACTACAGTTGCAAAACCCAGAAAAATACATCTTCTCGGCATTGCAGGAAAATTGCCATCTTCAGCTTGGCGTCCCCTAATCTCTGGGAATAACTAACCTTTACAACATGCAAGGGCAGGGGAACATTGACCATATTGTAAGGTGGTTTCTATTCAACTAGAGTCTTGAACATGCATTTTTTCTGAGGGTTAAGCCTATCTTGAACATTTGGGTCGGGTTTACATTTCTCCAACCACTCAAGAAGATCCCTGAGAGGGCTTAGTGAATGCCACCTGGTCTCACATCCTGCTGTTCCTGGCTATTTGCACCAACTCTAGCCTGTCTGTAGCACCAAAAACTCCAGACACCCACTTCACTATCTGTGTGCCAGTTCAAACCACTGCTGCCCATTTAATCTGTGCATCTAACTCTCTCCTTCCTTATTTTCCAGCCATTTCTTCATCACCCTTTGCTTGTAGAAGCCAACATCAACAGTTTTACCCTGCACCGGGGGAAAGGCAGAGGTAAGATAGGGAGTACTACTATGCTGCCAAGAATTCACAGCAGTCATCAACCATTTTTTGACCCACAGACAACAAGAAATGTTGGTAACAAAGCTGTACTTTGCTAGCCAGATGCTAGAGGCTCCATTCGTCCCTGGGTTTGTAATTTTTGCCATAATCAATTAGGCTTTGCTCACTCAAAACCACAGCTACATCTCTTGAGAACCGGGGAACACGGAACACGATTAGAGGCATTGTTCAATGTTAGCACATTGTGTGCAACCAGATGTCTGTCAACATCAAACACAGATTCACTTCACCCTACCAACAGGCTCTCCACCTTCTAACTGAATCAATTAGGAAACAGCACAAAAATGTTCTTAATGAGGCCACTAAGGTGACATTATCAGAAGTTTCACTATTGCAAGCACTGGTGCTGAAGCCTTGCTGAGACTTACTAGGACCAGGCTTAGGGTAATGTAAACATGCATTGAAGAACTAAGCCTCCCCAAAGTTATGACAACTGGAAGTCTTTTTTTGGGATGGCACAGCTTCCTTTCTGTACCTCATCTCTTCAGAGCCTCTGAACTCCAAAGATGTTAGATGTTTGATAAACTGTTCAAGCCTCAGCTACACTCACATGTGAAAGGCTATTATTGGAAGTGATACTAACGTTTGCCAAGTTTTAACCAATTCATGAACCAACCTTCTATCAAGCCTTGCCCTACTAACAGCATTTATAGTAAAAGCCCCCCTATATGAGCAGAGAGGTGAGCTAAGCACAACTCACGCAGTTAGAAGACATGATAAGGGCACCAGGATAAAGAGATGGCCAGCCAGGAGTACACCAACAAGCACTGGAGATACATTCATGCGAGAAATACAATAGGGAAATACTGCTGGCAGCTCTTGGAAGCTCCACAGCGGTTTCAGCTGACCCAGAAGACAACTGCTATGGTGCTGCTTTCTCCCCTGCCCCTTTGGCTGAGCAAGGCCTTCTCCACTCTGCCACTGGTACTGGCACGGTGAGCTAGTTCTGGGAACCAGCCTGGCTGAGAAATAATTCTGCAAGATAGAAAAGGGGATTGGTTTTCACCTGGGCTCAAGCACCACAGGGGAAGGGCTAGGATCACTCAGACTGAGTTTTCACAGCTCTCCCCTGCCACTGTGGGACCACACACTCAGCTAGGGATGCTACTAACTGAACTTTAGTGCGGTGACTTTGCTCGTGCGACCACGACTGCAATTCAGCCTAACATCACTAAGCAACAGAGGAAACATGAGTTCTCTTCACATATATTGTGGATCTATGAATTTTTTGGTTTTGTCACATATTCTGTTCTTCTGTGTCAAAGCAGATTACAAAAAAGAAAAAATTACATTACTTCAAAACAGTGTCTTGTACACTTTATTCTAGTCATGAGTCCTTGAATTAGGTCAAAATAAGTTATTCTTACAGGATTTTGTTCAAGATATACTGAACAGACAAAATCATTTCAAACTACATCACTAAGATAAGCACTTCAGAGTTAAGAAATGAAGAGTTACTGCTACCTGCGTATAAGGATACAGCTTTTAGTTTTATAACAAATACTGTTTTTACTGTAGGAGCTTTTTCATCACTCTATTCCCCAAACTGCATAGAATAACTTGATTTTTTACTCATCCTCATATACATGACTGAATGCATTTCTTAAACCTGTTTGAGTTTTATTCTGTGGTTCCTGACTCTGACACAGAAAAATGTTCCAGAAACAGTAGCTTATTTACTTAACTTCATGGTAAATAGAGGAACACCAGCATCTTATTTTCCAGGCAAGAAGACTAGGTAGGGAGAGATTTAAGGTAAATTATATTCACTAATATTTGAAATTTCCAGCATTTGACTTATTTTTATTTTTTTTGAGTCTGCAGAACTTCACAGAAAAAGCTGTGCCCTCACACTACTGCAAGTGCATGCTCTTTGTGAGACAGTAAGGCCCAACTTGCAGGATGTGAGAAGTACACGGGGAACAGTCACACCTGAGCTGCAGTCTAGCCAAACATCCCTGACAAAGTCAAGGATGAAATCTAAGTATCCAAAGCAGCATTCAAACTGCCCTAAGCATAAGGACATGTTTTCTTCTGAGCCCCCCCGCTGAAATCACTATGTATCTGCCACACTTTGGATGAAGTACAGGGCCCACATACAGTAGTCTTCACACCAGACACCTGTTCTACCTCCAAAGAGGGAGCTTCCTATGAATCAAGTGAGGCAGGACCCTGGTGCAGAGATCCAAGACTGGCTGTGATTGCATACTTCAGGTCTATGACAAATCATACATGTGGTGACATTACCTTCTTCCTGCACCCCTCTTCCCTCCAACGATGTAGGACCATTTACCCAAGGAGCTTCATAAATACTTCGACAAGGACAAGAAGATGTATCTATGTGACTGTTTTACTTCTGCTCATGAGTACAATTTGGTTAGAAATTACTCAGTCATCACCATTTACCATGCTTTGGTTTGCGCTGTGGAGTCATCTCAGGGTGCACAACCAGGACTCCTTTCGGATGAGAGCAAATGCCACAGAGAATGCTCTACAGATCTGCTACTACTGTGTACTAATGCAGGCTTAGCGCTAGAGTCCTTTCCTGCGAAACAGAGCATTTTGCATCCATGGCAAGCCATCTTCTACTGTCAGGATTCTTGGCCTTAGAAGAGATCACTCTGAGAGCTCAGGATGTCTCTCCTCAGCCAAGACTTCCAGAAAAAATAATCCTGCAAGACTTACAATAGAGCAAAATGGAAGGGAGGGATAGAGGGGAATCACATCAATCAACCAACCCAAAAACCCCAACCAGCCCACACCAAAACACCCAAGCAAAAACCCCCACAAATAACCTCTGCCCCCCTAATAATAAACAAAAAACCAAAACCAAACAAACAAAAAAAACCCACAAAGAAACAGACCAAAAAAGAAACCTACTCAACCAAGAGCCACAACATACTCAGTGAAGACAATCTCTATGGAATGTTTTCTAAAAAACTATCTAGTTCCACACAAATGGGAATTATTAAATGCTAACACCTAGATCAAATTCAGAGCTTCCTTTGAGAGACTGAATTTAAATACACCTGTAAAACAAACATTATCTCTGGCTAAATCATGATTTTACTCCAAGACTTTAGAAGTAACCGCTTCAAAAGCTTAATATCACAAATACAGAAAATTTTAGCTATAGCGAAAGCTTGATGATGTTTCATCCAAATGAAAACTAGGTCCTAGAAGTGGAAATGAAGAGCAGTTTAAATTAATTAATGATGTTGTTCAGGAATGCTGATGCCTTGTTTAAAACCACAAGGTAATAACCTTATTTTCCATTTCACATGTTGTTAGAGATATCCAAAGTATAAAAACCAGTTACAGCTGAAGAGCTAGTAAATGCCAGTTTTAAAATGCTATGAAAAGAATACAACTATACTCAGACTGTTATTTTCTGTGCCATGCACAAACTCACCCACTGATTACTTCTGGAAGTTTTGGAGAAGCTGTTTCACAAGAGTATGTGAGGGATTCCAGCCCACTCTTCTGTTGCTGGTATTTATGAATCAGGTCCATCAGCACTGCCTGGTGCCCAATCTTTTTCACCAGCTGCTGCACCATACGATCATTAAGAGCCAGAAGAGCTGCTCCACTTACTTCTTCTTCTGCAGATTGAAGGGGATTAAAGAATTACTGTAAAATAACTTTATAGTTACAGTAACATTCCACATGCCTGAAAAACAAGATGACAGAGGACAGGTCAAAGGCAACGATGCTTTCTACTGCTGATGGTCTTCTTCAACTGCTAAAAACATGATGTTTTAGCTACTGTCCTTTTCCAAGCAGCTCCAGGAGTCCTAGTGCCTGGCCAGAAACCTTCCCCTAACAAAAAGCCAAGTTTGAAACATACAGAAGCAGTGAGCTTACTGTTTTAATGCTTTAAATCAGGCCTTGCTTAGACTACAGCAGACTGTTAATTATTAATGAAGGACAGCAGGCTTTTTAAGAGAGCACACAACAAATAGCCCGTTCACATAACAGTTTCTCATGCACTCTTTTGTAGGGTGTTTATATACTCAGACATAAAACATTTACACACTACAGTTGCATTATTTCAGAAGATTTATACAATATAAAATAGGCCCTGTCAAGCCTTTTAAACTGCCAGCTCTGATTTGAGGTGTATATATTTGTATACAGGCTTAATCTCATCCCCCAGCATTTCTCAGAGACTTCATAATAAATCAGCACACTTATTTTTGATTTATCAGATCTATGTCAGTTCACACCCTAATAAATTTCTATAAAATTCTGAAGTTAGCATACATATACATGCCCCAAAACAAGGTAGGCAGCACCAATTAAAGGCACAGAAATAAATACTAAACAAAACCCACACAAACAACAAAAATGCTTACCACGAAACTTAGGAACTAGTTCTCCTAAATTTCTCTGTCTCAACCAGTTGCAGACTTGATCAACCGACCAATTTTCCATCTTCAGATGTTGCAGTGCTAAATTTCACTGTGAAATTAAGAGAGAAGATTATTTTTTTATGCTGATCTCTAAACTGAGCTCCAACATTTCATAGGGGAAAAAAATGCACTTATCAAATGTTACGTTTACATGCCCTGAATAAAAATAGTGCGAAATAATCCAACTAATGCCTGTTGAAAGTAGCAGTTTCCTTGGATCCCTTTCTTCACCTCCTCTCCCTTCCTCTCTTTTCCCTCTGCTCTAAGAGACAGCCTCATTCCTTATAAAACCGACCTGCTCCAGTACCATTAACACCCAGGTTTCCACACAGAGAAGAAAAAAGGTGTGAAATTCACCACCACCACGCTCATCAGGAAATGGCTGACATTTTACAGAAAGAAAAAAAAAAAAAAGAAAAAAAAATAACACCACCACCCCACCATCGGATAAGAGTCTGTCACGTATATGTTTATAGTAAATCAAGCACCTTAACCCTCTCCGCACTACCAAGAGGGTACTCAAGCAAATGTTTAACCCTCAATTACCAACAATTTGGGGCAATAAAGCTCCTGGAAAATGGAGGGCAGGGGACCACTCCACCTGTTATTTGCTAGTCCCATCCTTCAGGCTCCAGGGCTCCCTGGGAAGATGCAGCGGGCGTCGTGGGAAGGAGGAGCACCGGGAGCCGGTTCCAGGGAGGTGGCGGGGCCGGGACGCCGACCCCCACCCCTACCCCAACCCCTGGGTGAATCAGTCTAGCAGGTACCGTGTGCCCCTTCCCCGAAGGCCTGGCTGGAATCGCATGCCAAAATCAATAGCCACCTCCTCAAGAGAAGATTATTTATGAAGACAAAGCTTGTTCTACTCTGCCAACTTCTTGACGGCAGCAAACTCCCTCCAAGGGTAATTTTCTTGTTACCATCTTTTAGCTCTACTGCATAAAGGAGCACCAAGTGCTCCTTGACTATGCTTGCAATCCACAGCAAACAACAGTAGAGGAAATTATTCAGGCAAGTTTTCCAGGTGAGAACACAAATGTCTGGCATCGTTGGCCAAACACTTCCTTTCTGAAAATACATCCACGCCCAAAGCCTGCGCCTGCAGTGAACTCCAGGCTAGTACCAGGATTCACCCACACAAACCTCCTCAGGATCTGGTCCACTGCACTAAAAAAAAAAAAAAAAAAAATGCACAGCATCCTTGAATAAAAAAATTCCATTTTAATCCTTCAACAGCAGAGACCCCCAAAATAGATGCCCTTCAGTTTATGCTCTTGTGCCAGTAGACTTCAGCAACTTAAAAGGGTTAAGTTTAAGATGAATGTCTTTTTGAATTACATGAGTGGATTTAATTTGATATGACAACAGTAGCCATACAACTCCTCCCCCAGGCTAAGCAGCAATAACAGGGTGTGAAAAGTCATTATTTGTTGAGAACTCTGGTGTAAATTAAAAATCACACCTTCCTGTCACACTTCTTACTTCCTTGCAAAGAGTAGGGCAAAAAAAAAAAGGCTCAAAAAACTTGAAAGATAAAACCAAATGCAAAGCAGAAAGATACTTGTCGTATCTACCAAGCAGTGTAAAAGTAGAGAGATACATTAAAATGGTGGAAAGGTCACTGCTTCACCCTATAAGAAGACTAGCATCCTAGAACAGTCCTGCTAAAGCAGACAGACAGATACCAGCGTTTCAAAAAGTGTCAAGAGAACTACAGCCGTGCATAACAATATGCATATTTAGCTCGGTGTGCCTGACTCTACAGTGAAATGTCCATTTGCACATGGAAATGTAGGCAGTACGCTTTAGGGAGGGAAGGAAGTGCTGACAGTTTAGAGGCTGTTTTTTTTTTAAAAAAAATCAGATTATCTGTATTAAGGCTCACTACACACAAATACTTTGAAATGCTTCTCAAAAGTGATTTCACTTACTTGCCCTGTACTATAGATAAAGGAGCTAGGAAAAGAGCACACCAGCCTTCTAGCAGCATCATGGAGGCAACAAGAAAGACTGAGCATGGATGCTGATATTTGTCTTCATTAAGGATTCTGTTTATTACAGTAGCATCAAAAGGCTGTGCTCAGTGTGGGAAACCATGTGAATATTTATATTCTTCAATCAACCCTTAAAAGTCAGAACAACAAAAAACAACAATGGCAACATTTTAAAGATGGACGGTATTTTAGCAAGTTACAGTATAACTTCAAGTCAAATTCAGAACAGTTCTAAGTGTGAGTGATTCCTGTCTGTTAATAAATTAATAAATGCAGCCAATCACTGGGACCCATTTCTTCAAACACCTAGGGTGAACGTCTATCATCAGGACTTAACCAGCCCTGGTTAATGAAATTAAGTAATGAAATTAATGAAGATTAATTTTCCCTAGGATGAGTCAGGACAACACTCGCTTTTACTGTAAAATCCTTCAAGACCGAAAGATGAAAATCTTGTTTTTTAATCTGATCAAGTCAAAGACCTGTCTATGGTACAGGTTTCTGCTGATGTAGCTGGTTACACAATAGCAAGAGATGAGGTTCCTGACCAGCACACCTGTGCTGGCAGATCCATGCTGCACGTGCACTAATTTACCATGCAACTTGTTTTATTAGAAGATATAATGACCTACCATCCACTTAAAGTGACACTTCTAAATGAATAAACCTATATGTCAAAACATTTTAGACACGAAAAGTGAGTTATATGTACTTTACATGTTGACTTGTGAGAGAGTCTATGACATCACAGACTACAAATACAACAGCCTTTAACAGGCCTCTATGGGGATGTCACTGAGGTTGGAATTCAGGTTAATTTTAGTACATTTTAGTACAAGAGTGAGGAATGTGATGTGTGCACATCTATACATCACAGTTGTGCGGTGCACTTGTGGTACAAGGCCAGGTCTCAAAGTTGCAGGTGTGATGAGTAGGAATGGTCCATACCAAAGATATATGCAAAGTATCCCTTGTGTATTTTTTTGATGCTCTCCTAATTTGATTTTATCTTTGTATGCATTACAGAGACATTATTATTTTCTTTCCACTTACTAGCAACCTAGTTTAAAAATAATTAACAATATATTCAAGCAAATTTACAACAGGCAGAATATGTGATCTTGGATCCAGTGCTGAGTTATTATGAAAAGAACATCCATTGTCCACAAACCTTATCAATAACATATAGGGAAATGCTCCAAGAGAGCACTTCTGTCACTCTCTCCACTCACCAAAGAAAATGCCAACAACTTATTGCTGACATTTATCAGGCATGTGATAGCATGAAGCATTGAGCTGAATGCTCACAGAGATGGCCAAAAGAAGCGATGTGAGGGGAGGGAAAGAAAATTCGAACACCAACATAGGAGCAAATCTTAAAGTGAACATTTCCATTCTCATTTCTGTGCTACTGTAGAGTAAAACATATGCAGCTGCAAGATCGGGAGACAGAATGTACAGCAGATGCAAGAGAACACCCGTATCACCTAAGAATATGGCTATATAAGAACTAGGAAGAAAACATGCACAATCATTACTCAGCTGTAGATAAATGGGAATAAGACAGACAGCCCTTCTAAGCCTTGATCAGAGTTAAGGGGAGTATTAAGGGTTCTGAACATGCCTGACTATTGAGCTTATCAAGCAGACAAACTTCTCTGCTGCAGGAAATAATTCTGAAGAATATTATAAAAAATTAACTCTTTCCTAAATACATGTGCTTCTGATTAAATACGCCATTTCTAGCGTATTTTAAATGCAAGTTTTTACTATATGAACTTTAAAAATATTTTTATCAGTACTATCTACAGCGCTACTGGAAAAATGAGCTCTCCCACTTCAACAAGATTCAACCCAAGTACCAAGTTCTCCTCTGTTACAGCTGTACAAGCTACTTGGTAATTTGAAAGGAAGAAAAGAAAGTTAATTTGACTCTGTTTTAAGGTGATTTAATAGCCATGCAGATGAGACTCTGTCCTTGCTATCCCTGGCAACAGCACACAAGCTGTGGAATAGTACATTTAGCTGTAGAAGAAAGCGCCTTCATTTTTTTTAAGAACACAACTTCTGGAAATTAAGCCCCCGTAAAACCAAACCCTTTTTATATTCAGCTTTAAGAAAACTGTATGAGATTAAACATACAAAGTTACTAGATATTGAGAACAGGAAAAAAATAAGTAAGGATTAAAAATTCATGAATCACAAAAATAAGATCTCATATACTGCAAAGAAAGCAATCAGACTGAAGATCTTCAGTACAACACAGTGACAGCTTCAGAAGACTGAAGAAAAAAACAATTTCTTCTTGTAAGTGATATCACCCTGATTTTTCTTTCCTCCCAGAAGTACAAATTTCTCACCAGGACCATTGGTACTGTTGACCAGGTCACTGTTTGCTGGCTTAGCAAAGGACTCCGGCTCCTGCCACTGAGCAGTGCAGAGACCTCCGACACTTAAGCCCTGCAGCGTGATTCCACAGTAGCCTAAATCACAGCAGTCATGATCCAGCCCTCTTCTTTGCAGCCATCCGTGTGATCATGTAATCAGCAGTGCTGGCAAAACTGAAAACATAATTTTTTTGGTGTAGTGAGTTTTGGATGGATCAGTGCCTTTACCAACTCCCTGGCCAATTGGGTGAAAATAGATGGTGGAACCATACCCCTAGATTCATCAAGGCATAGACTGATCATTGTTACAATGCACTATAGCAATGAAGATTTCTGTCTTACTGGATCATTGACTTGTAAAGTTAGGCCAGAAACCCAAACTGTGAGTAGCATCTATTCCACCTCAAAAAAAAAAAAAAAAAAGGAAATGATTACCCATCTCCTTTCCCTCAAATCATTTTGCTTGAATTATACAGCTTCTTGCAAGGTTACTCTTGCTCCCATTCAAAGCCCGTTCAAGCTTGCCTGGTCAATAAGAGTAATAAGATGTGAAATACTCATAATAACGAGGCTAATCCATTAATTACTGAGAAGGATGGGTGCAAGGTTCTATTATTTGCTTGCTCCACTCGTGATTTAGA